ATATTCAGTATTCTTCGCCAACACCATAATTCAAATGCATCAATTCTTCTTTGGTCTTCCTTATTCATTATCCAGCTTTCACATGCATATGAGGCGATTGAAAATACCATGGCTTGGGTCAGGGGCACCTTAGTCTCCAATGTGATATCTTTGCTTTTTAACATTTTAAAGAGGTCTTTTGCAGCACATTTGCCCAATGCAATACACTGTTTGATTTCTTGACTGTTGCTTCCGTGGGCGTTGATTATGGATCCAAGTGAAATGAAATTCTTGACAACTTCAATCTTTTCTCCGTTTATCATGATGTTGCTTATCGGTCCAGTTGTGAGGATTTTTGTTTTGTTTATGTTGAGGTGTAATCCATACTGAAGGCTATAGTCTTTGATCTTCATCAGTAAGTGCTTCAAGTCCTCTTTGCTTTCAGCAAGCAAGGTTATGTCATCTTCATATCGCAGGTTGTTAATGAGTCTTTCTCCAATCCTGATGCCCGATTCTTCTTTATATAGTCCAGCTTCTTGGATTATTTGCTCAACATACCGATTGAACCTAATTAAATACAAACAGCTTTTGTTCTGGGGGAGAGACACAGGTATAAGTTCCCTGGGTGGCACAAATGGTTTGCGCTTAGCTACTAGTGGAAAGGCTGGTCGTTTGAACTGACCCAGTGGTACCATGGAAGAAAGGCCTGGTGATTCGCTTCCATAAAAATTACAGCCAAGAAAATCCTATGGAGCTCATTTCTACTCTGTAACACATGGGGTCCCCATGAGTTGGAATCAACTCAACAGCAATGGGTTTGGGTTTCTTGGGGGGTAGGGAATGTATTAAGTGCTACAATAGAGGTGAGTAGCAGGCATAACTGAGGCAGAAGGGATAGACAGCCTAGGGCAGTTAGGAAGAGTTTAAACCCTTGCGTGGAAAGTAGAAGAATGTAAGGTCACTTACAGAGATATATGTGATGCCATATGATTTTCTAAAGTTCATGAAGAAATTGAGGTAGAGGAAAAATAAGATTAGAAAAATAAGATGAGACCAGAGGTGGATTAGAACATTCAAAGCATCTGCGAGGTCCTATTCATGGAAAGCACATGTATTTCTGTGTGGCTGAGGCAGGAGGGGCCAGATCATGCAGGTCTTGCAGGCCACCCTAAGGAGAACTTGATCTTGTAAATAATGAGGAGCTATGTGGAGGCTTGCATGTTGCTATGATGCTGAACAGGTTTCAGCGGAGCTTCCAGACTAAGATGGACTGGGAGGAAAGGCCTGGCCATCTACTTCCGAAAATCAACCAGTGGAAACCCTATGGATTACAGCGGTCCAATCAGTAACCAATCATGGGGATGGCAAAGAACGGGACAGCATTTCGTTCTGTTGTGCATGAGGTGGCCATGAGTCGAGGGCAGCTCACCACCCCAACTGAAGACAAGGGTGTCGTGGTTGTATCTGGTTATTCAGAAGATGATTCTGCACGCTGGGTAAGGGGTAATCCACTCAGTAAACGCTAATGAGTGTCGACTTACTGCCAGACACTGTTCTAGGGGCTGGAGGCATAGCAGTGAGCAAAACAAAGTTCCCCACCCAACGCATGCTTCCATTCTTATGGAAAATGAAAGGCAACGAATATAACAAACAAGTAAATTATATGGTATGTTAGACAGTAATGAGTGCTTTGGAAAATAAAAGAGAAACAGGTAAGGAGAATTGGGAATGCTGGGAGTGGTGATGCTGTTGTAATTTTACATGCAGCAACCTCCCCAGAGAGAGCAAAGAGAAGACGTGTCCAGGGGTGGGGATATGCACACTGGAGGCTTGGTTTGCCCTCAGGAAGATGGATCTGGGGAAGAGGCCACACAGGCCTGGAATCAAGTTCCGGGCCATTTGGGCAGATAATTCCAAGGCTGTGATTTGGGGGAGGAAAGGAAAACAGGGGCTTCAGATGACACTTCTGCAAACACCTCCGTCCCTGTGGGGAAGGGCATAGCGGGGGAGACAGGGGTCCTCTAAAACGCGGCTCCAAGACAGAGGCCCCTCTTGCCTGAGCACTGGGTAAACTTGGGATTTTACAGTAAGTCCTGGGTTAAGAACATCTGATTTATGAATAACTCGTATTGAAGAACAGACTATTATGTTAAAAATTTGAGTTAAATACAATGGCTCGTAATAACGAACACACTATTAGTATGTAATGTATTGTTATGGTTAAGATGTTTTAGTGTATTTGGAAGTGTTCCTTAACTGTTTTAGATGCATAGAAAGGTAAAATAAATACCATATACTAAGACAAACGTTTGACTAACTGATGCTAAATAAGAACCATATGTACCTGTTCCAACTTACCTGCAAATTCATCTTAAAGACAGACTTAGGAACGGATCTTATTTGTAACCCGGGAACTGCCTGTACTGTAAGTCAGCCATCAGAAGGTTTGGGTCAGACATGGTTTGAT